ATTAAAAATAACTCACTGTTGTTTTATATTTGCTTTTAGTGAATGGGATTGACAATACAATCCTAACTCAAGGTCCACCTACTCCACATCTTCTACCGGAGCTATCAACCATATTACACAGTCCTCCTAAAGTAAAAGTGAATTCAAGTTAACCATTAAAGCTAGAGATTGGTCACTTTTATCGTTTACCCAGGTGCATGAGCATTGAAAATATTACCAAGCTCTGTCATTGTAGCGTATCAGCATGTCTGCATTTGTACATTGGCAATGGCAGACACTGAGAGAAGAAAATATTATGCAATCAAGACCTGAGCAATCAATGAATGATGCCTTTCAGCCATAGAACTCACTGGCTGCTGCAGCTCCTGGCTTCTCTGCTGTCTTCAAATAGAAACATTTAAAACCTGTTTTGTTTTCAACTCTCCTGTCAGCACCAGATCTCTGTGCTCCTCAGGTTTAAACTACATAAGCCTCAAGCTTCTGGTGCTTTCGTATATGGACAGTATTCTTAGTGGGACTCAAAATACACTCACACAAGACTGGACTGGCTATTAACGTGCCGCAACTGTTCATTAAGTGAAATTCTGATACCACCTAGTAGCATGACACATTCACACCCCTCCCCCAACTCAGATATATTAAAGATACTCACTCACACCTGTGTGTTTTTCTCAGGTGGGCCATCTGATCATCGGACACCATGGGATAATGTCCACCCCAGCTATCTCCTGTGCGATCAGGAAATACAAAGCCATCGGCGGCATCATCCTCACTGCCAGCCATAACCCCGGTGGACCTGATGGAGACTTTGGCATTAAGTTCAACACCGCCAATGGAGGTATGGTAACAGGAGAGGAGGGTGAATGCAGGAGCATCAGCCAAGTGTTGAATAGTGTTACGAGCCCATAAAGTCAGTCGTTTAACACAACTGTAGGAGCTTTCGTCCTGACACGTCCTGCAGACACAGGACCCGGAAATAAAGTTCAGACTAGGTGAAGACACAGTTCAAGGACCTCACAACTGTCAGCACAGTTTTAGCATTACAAATCACAGTTCAGACTGAACATTACCATATAACTTACCATGTTGTATACATAGATGATCAATGCGTCTCCTCTATTCAGAAATGAAGCCATAATATAATGGATACAAACGCCGCCATCTTGCACACTTGCAGTCAGAGTCTGCTCAGTAGCAATCGGCCACAGGTTCTCTTCCATGTTTGGAAGGGTGGTGTGAGGGTGAGGGGTATTCAGCTGCAACATAGACGGAAACAATTTTTGAGAAAATTTTGTTTGATGTGAATTTTGACTTTTTAGTTTGGTCCACCTCCCATTCATTAACATAGGGGAGGCAGGATGAAATGAGCTATGCTGCAGCCAGCCACCAGTTGCCATTCAAAACGATTTGGCTTTACTTTTTGGGAGCTGTTACGTCATCCATCTTTATATATAGTCTGTGTTTAAGAGTATGTAGTTTTTACAGCAGACTACATGTGAATATCAATGTAAAACCAAGGTTTTCCTTCTTCATCTAGGTCCAGCTAAGGAGGACCTCACAAACAAGATCTTTCAACTCAGCAAAACCATCGAGGAGTTCGCCATCTGCCCCGGCCTCCGACTGGATCTGACCACCCTGGGGAAACAGATGTTTGATCTGGAGAACAAGTTCAAACCATTTACTGGTGAAATGCAGCATGTGTCTGTCACCCATCAACTGATATTGATGGAAGTTTTGTTTTACTGTTGCATGTAAAGAAAATACTTGAAAACAGTAAGGTCAAATGTAAAATCTGCCAAAATCAGTGACAGCTAAAACATTTTAGTTCCTCATCTGTGTTTGTGTTCAGTGGAAATTGTGGACTCGGTGGAATCCTACGCCAACTTGTTGAGGAATATCTTTGACTTTGCGGCCCTGAAGGAGCTTCTGTCTGGAGAGAACCGCATCAAGATAAGACTGGATGCCATGCACGGAGGTGAGAGAGCAGCATGTCTTCACAATAGGATATTCTCCTTTACACTGTAAACTAATGACAGAAAGATGTTATAAATGATAGCAGCACCAGTTAATAATAGTAGTATTAGAAGTTGTAATAATAATGATAAAAATAAGAAGATGAAGAAGAAGAATTGCTCGGTAAAATATAAAATAAAATATAAATATAAAATAAAATATAAATATATATATATATATATATATATATATATGAAATATACTCGGTAATGTAGAAAGAAAGGGAGAGATGATAGAAGATTCTAGATTCTGTTGGATTAAATTACTGTATTAATCAATATTTTATATCTGTTACAGTTTGAAAGCAGACTGAGCCCTTGGCTTCATGTCAGCTTGAAATCCTCTATTCCCCTCATCCTCTCCTCTTTTGAATAAAATAAAGACACAACTGACAATATTGTAAGTGCACCCAGGCCAGTGGATGCAGATTCTTCATACAATTTTGACTCAGTGTTGTGTCTCTTTCTAACAGTCATAGGTTTTAGGACAAACAATATGTTTATGATGCTTATGTTCCTCACTTTGTTTGCATGAGGTCAAATGTGAAGGAGGAGTCAGTACACAAGAATCTGGTTGGTCGCTCAGTTACCAAAACATCGGACTATTACGTGATGTTTTGCAATAGTTGAATAGGCATAAGTAAATAATGGCAGTGAGCAAAGTGTGTCAGACTGGTGGAGAAACAAAGAAACACTTATGGATTTCAATCTAGTTCTCGACTTTGTTCTTGCAGTGGAGCCATGGCGTGGTGACATGGCGTTTTAGGAACTTCCCAACAATTCCTGACGATTATGTTACTAAAGCTATTTCCAGAGTCCCCAAACACTGAAACTCAAACTAAAGTTGAACAGTCCCAACAACCCTCCAAACTGCTTATGCATACACAAACAAACTATAACAATAACAACAGACAGATTTTTCTCACTTCTTTAACATTGTGACCACAGGTAAGCACATTTAAGAGACATTCTAGTTCTTCCTCTATTAATCCTGTTTCTTCCACCTCTGCCTGCTCTCCAGTGGTAGGACCATATGTCAGGAGAATACTGTGTGAGGAGCTGGGCTGCCCAGCCAATTCTGCCATTAACTGCGTCCCACTGGAGGATTTTGGGGGTCAACACCCAGACCCTAACCTCACCTATGCTGTGGATCTGGTTGAGAGCATGAGAGATGGACAGTATGATTTTGGTGCAGCTTTTGATGGAGACGGGGTGTGTGCAAATATTATTTTGTTCCATTTATAAAATCAAGTCGATTAAAAAAAATGATATTTCAAATTCACATCTAGAACCTTGGCCCAAAGACCATTGACTTCTAACCTCTGACCATCTGCCTGCGTTATAGGACCGTAACATGATCCTTGGTAAACACAGCTTTTTCGTCACCCCATCTGACTCTGTGGCTGTGATCGCTGACAACATCTTCTGCATCCCATACTTCCAGCATACAGGGGTGAGAGGCTTCGCTCGCAGCATGCCCACAAGTGCAGCCTTAGACAGGTAAAACTTTAGCCTGGCTTTCACCTATCACTCTCAAAACCAAACAGCCATTCATTTTCCCAGTTGTGGCCAAGTCAAACTTAGTATACTTAAGATTATGAAATTTAAATACAATTTAATTGGTAGAT